CTCTAAACCCTAAGCCGTAAACCCTGAGCCCCTGAACCATAAACCGCAACACGGGTCATGAAATCCAACCGGTTTTGGTACCTACAGGGTTTAGAGTTCAGGGTTTGGGGATTTGGTTTACTCGGGGTGCAGGGTATAGGGCTTAATAGCCCAGCAGGCCCACCTCGGCGATGCCACCGCGGGCGTTCTCCATCCGATTGCCTCACCGGAAACCGGCAGTCTGTCCCTACACGTCCCTAAAACCTAAGCCAAAACTTTAAACCCTAGACCCCGAACGCCCTATATCCTAAAACTTGAATGCTAATCCGTACACCATAAACCGGTATACTAGCCCTAAGGCTCTAGGGACTCATATTTTAAGGCTTTTGGGCCCAAAGACCACACTATAAAAGGCTTTTGGGCTATGTTGAGCCTTAGGGTAGTAAATGGCGGCTCTGCAGGGTGGGCGCGGAGATGCGGGCAACGTGTGTTGCCCTCAGGAAAAGACGCCGCCGCCTGCTGAATGTGCTGCTCCTGCCGGCGGCCGTCATCCTCCTCTTGCGGCGTCTCCGGACACACGTCGTCCCAGAAGTCCCTGAATGCATAATGTTTTCTTTTGCCAGGTGCTATGATGGCCTCTGTGGTCGTCACCGTGACGCTTGTGTTGATGGCTTCTGGTCCGTAGATCAGGCCAACGCTCGTGCCACGTTAGCAGCTGGCCGTACTATGTTTCACAACTGCGAAACCGACATGCAGCATGCGCATGCCGTAGGCTAGCAGGATTTCCTGCGCTTGGACTACGCACCACAAACAAAACTGCTGTTCTTGCCTCGCAACCCATGCAGCTCTTGCTCGACCTTGTCCAGCTCCCGTAGGCAACATCTAGGGAACCATATAATGACTGACAGACCGGTTGTCAAAGGCCGAACACGGCTTGCTGCAGTTGCTTGCCTGCCTTTTCCTTGTTTTTGAGCCGTTTGCGGGACTCCTGCTTCGCCGTGTTCTCCTGCCGTGAAGAGAGCGACGGGCTGCTCTCATATCACAAGGCTGATTCGAATTCTCCTGCTTCCAAGAGCGCAGGATGTTGCACGCGTCATGCTTGAACATCCCCCAGGTCTTTCCCAGATCTATGCACTCGAACTTGTTTTCCAACGTAGGAAACACGTTAGACGAATGGTCTATCCCGAGTCAGTTTCCCAGAGCCCACAAAACACGCATGCAATGAATTACCAACTTAGGTGTCTCGAACACAGAACTTTGGGAAGCGAGGCCTCCTCGGCATCAGCACGCTTACGTTTCCGAGAGCTGTCCTGATCCTCGAATGCATCAGAATCAGGCCGTCAGATGGCCAGATTTCCCTATTCTTGCGGCCATGTTTCTGCGTGCCTTCTTCCGCAAGTCCGAAGGCTTGCGGCGAGCCTCGTCTGCTGCGTTGTACATCGAAACATACACCAGACCCCCCGCTCCGGGCCTCCGAGTCCGAGTCCTCCCTGTCCTTCAATTCCTGCCGCCTGTTCCTGCGCCGCTTGTGCTCTGACTCTGTTGGTTGTTGTGGCCTGTGCACAAGGTGTCGGTCGATCATCAACCGGCCAAAAATGCACCCCAGATCCTACGTTTCTAAGGTTCCGCAGTATGATTTTCTTTCATTTCTATAAATCATAAGTCCTTAAACGGGTAGCTTGATTAGGGTTAAGGGTGGTCTTGAACAGAGACACGACAGCCTTACATCAAGTCCGTGGAGGTTCGACCCATCGAGTTGCTGTCCCTGTTACTTGGAGGATCATGGGACTCAGAAAGAAAGGTCATAACTACCTTAATTGGGGCTATAATCGCCTATAAGTCTAGTTACCTTATTGCTAACCCTAGTTACTACGTCCCATGATCCTCCAAGTAGGGTATGTCAGTTTAGGGCGAATCTACAACCCCCAGGCCCCTAGCCCACTACCTGAAACCCTATTTATAACCCTAGTTACTAAGTGCCATGACATCCTCCAAGTAGTCTAGTAAACCTCACGACGAACATCACTTTGGTTGCTACGGTCCATGCCGAAAGTTTGCAGGACTTCGCGTCGACTTTAAGGTTCAGGGTTTAGGGTTTAACCCTAAACCCTAAACCCTAAACCTTAAACCCTAAACCCTCAACTACAGCTGTCGCTCTGGCCCTCTGGGTCGATCCATACTCTGTTACACGACTTCGCGTGTAATCTAGACGGATTAAGGTTTAGGGTTTAGGGTTTAGGGTTCAGGGTTTAGGGTTCAGGGTTTAGGGCTTAGGGCCTGTATGGCGCCGTCAAGATACAAACCCTAAACCCTTCACCCAAGGCCCCTAACCCCTAAACCCCTAAACCCTTTACCCAAGGCCCCCAAACCCCTAAACCCTAAACCCTTCACCCAAGGCCCCTAAACCCTAAACCCCTAAACCCTAAACCTCCCCAAAAAACTCTGAGTCCGACAAAGAATCTCGGAGATGAAGGTCTGCATCTCCACCGGCATGCGATGCCTTGGGTTTAGAGTTTAGGGGTTTCGGGTATAGGATTTAAGGGCTTAGGGTTTAGGGTTAGGGGTTTAGGGTTTAGGGCTTTGTCTTACTTCCCCAATAAGCCAGGGAAATACAAGGTTGAACTTTCAGATTGCTACTATTCGATTATAATAAGTACCCAGAAGTTTAAGGGTTGGTTATTGGGGAACTAAGTGGTATAACGTAAGGTTTAAGCTGTAGGGCTTTGGGATTACGCTTCCGGGTTTAGGATGCCCTAAACCCTAAACCCTAAACCCAAACCCCAGGGTTCAGGTCTTAGGGTATGGGATCACAACCCTTCGTCAAACCTTCTGAACCCCGTGGCGCATTAAAAAACGGTATCAGGTGAAAGACTACCCCTATAGGGTTTAGGGTTTAGGGGTTTAGGGTTTAAGGGTGTAGGGTTTAGGGTATACGAAGCATATCACACCGCATAAAAGCCCATATAATTTCAATCTGGTTTTGTTGTATATGGAAACTACCAAACCTGTTCGACATCCCTTTTCTGGGCCCAGGGGTTTTGGCCGTCTGCTCCTGCGCAATGAGTCTAAACTCTAAACCCTTACATCCCCAAACCTTAACCCCGAGCCTTAAATCCATAACCAAAACCCCAAACCTTAAACCCATAACCTAAACCCTATACACCCGATAAACCCTAAACCCCTAAACCTTACACCCCACATAGAACCCTTATAGATCCCTTTACACGAACCCTCAAAGCCGCTCTAAGGACACTGCAGGGAAGCTCGCTGGATGTCCTCGGCCTCACACGCGGTCGATGGGTGCGTGGAGCATGTTTGCGGGTTTAGGGGTATAGGGTCTCTGGCTGAGGCTTTTGGGCTTTAGGTTTGGGCTTAGGGTTTAGGGTTCCTTAAATCGTATTAGGGATCCTACTATCATTTGTGGCTCTAGGTTAGGGCTTAGGGTTTAGGGTTTAAGGTTTAGGGTTCAAGTTCAGGGTTTAGGGTTGATAAGGTTCTACGGTAGAGGGCCCAGGCTTTAGGCTCGTGAGGCTTTTTGCGACAGGTCTTGGTGCTGATGTTTAACGGGGTTAGGCCTTAATGGGTTTAGGGCATAGGGTTTCCGGTGGGTTTCAGTAACCTACTCCATACAACAAGCTGTCTTTGTCTTTCAGCACAATGCGCTTCAAGTTAGTTCAGTATAGTTCAGATCCTACCAAGTCAGGTTCCAGTAGGACTGAACGGCTTCACCAAGTTGTTCAATCTCGTTGCGTACTACGTTTCGTCCGCAGGTCATCAAGAGCTGACCCTAAAAACCCTGAACCCCTAACCTGCAAACACTGCTAAACCCCTAAACCCTAAACCCTCATAGAGTAGGTAGCTATGTGGCATCAGAAGGTGCTTAGGCAGTCCTAAACCTTGGACGGTTGAAGATCTCCCACAAGCTAAACCCTAAACTCTAAACCCCGAAACCTTAGCCCAGAAAACCTGGCCTGCGTAAGGACAAACAGAATGAACTGGCGCCTGTTGGGGGGCATGGCTGTTTAAGGCTGATAAGTTACCCTAAACCCTAAACCCTAAACCTAACTTCTAAGGGCATTGGGATCTGTGGTTTGGCTCAGGGTGTGATAGGGGGCCTTAATCGTTGGAATAGGGCCTTGGGGTATATGATACTGTTTTAAGTATAAGAGAGGATCTCCCCAAAAAATAGTATTGGTAACTATTTAGGCCCCTATATTACTTTGAGGGTCCTTGTACCCAAATAGTATATACTTTGGCCCCAAAGTACCTATATATGAGGACTACTGTAAGGCCAAAGTATGTACCATTTGGGCACATGGACCCAAATGTAATGGTAACGATTTAGGCCCCTATACTTACAAGCATATTTAACTTGGGGAAGTGTGGTACATTCCTTATTATGGGTACCGTATTTAAGCCCCTATATTTATTAGGCACATGAGTAGTTCTCTAAATTAATTAGAATCCCTTTTTGCTCCCAAATATAGTACAGCACCCTTATAAAAGGGACCCTAAAACGGACCCCAATTTGGAGAACTTGGAGAACTACACATATGGTTGGGGGTTACTATGCTGAAACTCGTGGGGCCAGGGCTGCTTTGCTTAACTTTCGGAGTTGGGGTTCGGGGTTTAGGGGTTTGGGTTTCAGGGTTTCAGGGTTTAGGGTTTTAGGGTTTAGGGGTTAGTGTTCTAGGGTTTGAGGGTTTGGGGATTTTAGGGCTTTTAGGGTTTAGAGTTGCTTGAACAGATGGTCTGGGATCTCGGTTTGGGATTTAAGATTTAGGGTTACCCTCAATCAGACATGTACTGTCCTATACGTATAATCAGGAAGCAACAGGAACAGACCTGGAATCTGTCACGCTTCCGTATTGAGTATAGACCCCAAAACTTACCAAGCCTGCAAACACTCAACAGGCCGGCATCACAACACCGTCAGTTGCATCTGCGTAAACTGGCTTGGCCGAGTGTGAGCCTGCAGCCCGGGACAGGTTTTAGGATTTGGGCCGTAGGCTGGGATGTCGCGGTGCCTCATCATCAAGTTTAGGGCTTAGGGTTTAGAGT